CTGGCCTCCTAGGATTTCCAATAGAGCCTGTGCTAAGCATAGAACGCCGCAGGTCAAAATTCAAACTCAGCACTTTACATAATAAGTGGGGGTACCAATGATGTGCCACGCGGTTAACTACAGACTAGCTCCGTGAGCCTTCGTGGCACCCACAAGAAATGACTGCTATCTCACAGCACTTGATCCAGCTACGCCGGCGCGTTTTTCCCAAGCTCGCAGTACTTCGTCGTCGCGGGCGGCGTCTTCAACAGCAATGTTACAAATATCAATCAAACTTCCCCTACCATCCCCTCTGGTAAATATTTATGCCTCCGGCACATAGTTTGCCTACTGAATACGCTCCAAAATAGACTTTCGAAGGATCCCGTTTGGAGACATTGATCTGAGAAGGGAATACCACTAGACGCCGAATCCGGCGTTGTGAATCTCCACCGCAGTCTCGGGTATGTTCGTCGGATGTATTCTGCTAAAGTTGAGGGTCGCAAGTCACCTATGACGGTCGTAATATATCAGGGCGAGAGTGCGGAAGAGGTGTGTTCCCTTGTTTTTCTTGCACATAGTAATGGGCTACCCTGTCCTCTCAGCAATGGCGCAAGGATATCTCAACATACTCCCGCCTTCGGTGAGTGGCCGCCAGCGCTTTCCGTTCATACTAATGAATATGGGTTCCAGTCATCCGAATTTCGTCCAGATTTACGGAGCAGCGAGCTCATCTTGCATGCATGCTACTATTTTCCACGACGGTTTGTTCCTTTCATTCGGACGTATTTCCGCCTCGGTTCACCAGTTGGATTTTAGACTTGATACCATTCAAACATTTCTTAGACCTCTATCGACATTCACCCATCCTGACCGTATACATCTGGGGATGCTGTGTAGGTTACACCTTTTATTTGTGTGTCTGCCTGATGTTGATTTGTTACTAGTGCACGGAGTATACGGTAAGACAAGGGAATTTCATGGGGCAACTCACTACTCACTCCAAAATCAGGAAGCGAACAATTATTTTCGCTGCGTTTCTCAGTCGCACCTGGTCAGTGGCTAGATAGCCCTGGTTCTCATCTGACTGAGAATTTTAGTCGAATTCTTATTGCAAATTCTGGATTCGTCGCTCCAGTGGACGGCTGTGTACTGAACTCGTCACCGGTAGCCCAGAGCCCATCTCATTTTGGTTGAAGTCCAAGCTTCAGTTTCCTCTAATACCCGGTGGTTTAGTCACTCTGAACAGACCAGACCAGGAGGCTGTAGTTATTTCCTCTCTCACTCTCCACCAGTATCATAACGCGTGTTACTGGCACCTGGGGCAATTCCGGGGACTTTCTATCAGCTTGCGGGAAGTGGTAAAGCCGGGCGCGGTGTTTTCTGTTTCTTCAAGATCTTCTGGATCTCGCCCAGTGGAAATCGCATCGTCAATTAGCTCTCTTCATACCTTCGGTGAGACTTGGTATATGACCGGAGGGAATGTGAAAGAAGACTTAATTCCGGATGGCTGGACCCGGTACCAATTTCTGACTAGAATCATGATTTGTCTTGATGTTTTAGTATCTCAGGTACGCTTCCTGCGACGTATTCGACTGCGAATTCCACAAAAGAGTCGCCCTAGACAACCCTGAGGCTTGGCTGGGCCAAGCAAATCATATCTTCAGTCAACTACAGATCACTTCTAACTGCGAGGATTATGGTGCGTTTAAAAATAGCTCTTGCTTTTATTTCCGTCACATTTTTGGAATAGTTGTTGTGGTTCGCGTTGTATTCGATATCAAAATTTCAGCGAATGGGCGAACCCCGCCTGAAGGCTACCTATTTCTGTGTCCATCTGCAGATTTTCAAACCGGACCATGTTCCCTCCGCTGGCCAGACTCTCCGGCCTACTGGTCCCTTGATCCATCGGGAATTGATCGACTTAGCACGGAAGAGGCAGATAATCTGGGCTTCCCAATAATTGAATTGAACACGGGGATCGAGGGGTGGTCATGCGACACGAATGTCTACGCAGGACTGCGACAATTCCACCTTGCCAAAGGTTTCGATCCCGAGAGCCAAGACGTCGTCCGCCATCTTGGTGATCCATTTTATCACCTATCGGAAGAGCTGGTCGCTTCATCTACACATAGCGAGTGGATAAACATAACTTGTCGATTTTGGCCACTCATTCTGATGCTCGACAGTCGACGAGGGTGCCTCCGTTGAAGCAGCAGAAGATTCCAGTAAATTTGGCTCCTGCTCCGAAGATGACGATGATGCCAGCTCGGAACATGCTATCGAGGACGCCCCCAGCATTTTCAGTCCTGACACCGCAAAGATGTCGACACTACTCCGGGGCCACATTACCATGAACTGTGTGCAGTTTGGACTTATTCTTACCCTCACTTTATTTTGCCTGTACGATTACCTTCGATCCTGGTAGCAGCAGCACTTAATGAATGTTTCACAAATATTACTGGTACCTTGCTGTAGTATTAAATCTTGATTTGTTTCATTTTATGGATTGAAGCCTGTTATGGTACCTTTCTTTTGTCCGGTCTTGGATGTTCAAATCCTTTTTTATCCTGTGCAAACCGTAGCCCTGGTTTGTTTGATGAAAAGAAATTGGATATGAGGAATGCGAAAAAGGTGGTTTCGCAATCTGTCCCACGATAGCCGCTTCGCAGATGAAGGGACAACATAGGAAGAGGTTGAATCATGGTAGACCCCCGGCAGTCTTTCTCGCCGATAGCTGATATTGCATGAGGTTAACATTTAGGCCCTAAGCTAAGTGCTAATCGGCCTCAATAACTTCTGCTGTACGGTCCTATTAGTTCCGCACGTATTAATCTGTGTCTAAACGAGACAGATTAAAATGATCTAGTGGGACACTGATTTAGCAGTAATGTGACCACTCCACTTCCGATCGATGTATGATGCCCTCGGCTTGATCTGGATACGGAACCTGCTACGGTTTGTACTCCACGTCCAGTACTATATTTTTTTTTTTTCGTTCAATTCGACAGGGGGGTGTGACGCATGACACCTGGAATATAATCGACACTTCGACACAGTCCAGGTTGGACTGGCGTGACATCCCCCCGAAATTTGATACTGTCCAAAAAGGATGCAGGGCATCATACAGTCAACTGGGGCTTGTTTCCGGACGCATAGAGAGCCAGGCAGATTCACGTTTAAATTAATTGTTTTGCCTAGTGACTTTATTCAATACTTGCCTGCTATGCAGCTAAAAAATGAGATAGAACAATAAATGTGGCCAGTACCGATGCAGGGGATGCCGGAGAGATTCAATGGGATTTCTGGCCCTCGAACACACTTTGTGCGATTTTCTGAACCATCTGACCAATTCGACAATGGTCGCTGTGATGCGTGACAACGAACCAAAGTTCATATTCGACAACCCCCCTGTGATGCGTGACTGTCGAATTGAATGAAAAAAATACAGTACACCTAATTTGCTGAATATGTTCAAACAGGAATGGCCATCGATTCCTCGGCGGATTTCAAACTAGGCTCCTCAGAATAACACCGTATCCTACATAGCAAAAAACCCCTGCTCAAGGAACAATAATGTACACACTGTCACACATGCAATTCGCGTAAAGACCCCAAGTCAAACTTTTTCCTTCTTTCATCCCATTTAACGAAGCAGCGGTTGCTGTGACGGAATTTGTCATCATCAGGCCCCAGCAGCCAGAACTTACCCAATGTTAAGGGAGTAGCCTGGAGCGTGACACCAGGCCAGAGGTGGATTGCCTGCAGAGCATTGCGTCAGGGCGCAAAGTTACAATACGAAACGGAATGCGTCCTACAGGGCGAGGTCTGCGACAGGATTAATATTTTCATCAGCCGAGGTTGAAAGTCTCGTGGTAAATAATTACATTCACTCCGCCTGCATATGCGGTCACTTCAGTGAGCTCCCATGCGGTGAAACGAAGTGCATGACGACGTACAAGGAATGCCGAGCGTCTGAGGTGCGGATACCGCTCCGTGAGCCAAGATCATGATCCCGAGGATGGCGGCGGAGAGCAACTTGGTGAACATTTTGACAATAGGAGATTCGGAGCCTTGGATCACTTTATACGAGCTGGTTATTTATACCAAAGCGCTATACCCGGTGGAGTAGAAGTCTATAGGATTGATACCCGTTTATAGTGTTATCAGCCGTCGTTCCTGATGCAAACCTGACGTATGGGCGGCTGAGAGTAGTAAGTAAACTAGAAGAGGGCGGTTCGATACCATATTCCGTATGCAATGATGCCGGGATCTTCAGGAGGTCAGATTAAGGAGAAAGGGACGCATTTGCAGACCTGTAAAAAGGGCGGTGAACTGGACTGCGAGGAGCATCGCCGCCGCCTGGCTGCCACTGGTACCATAAAATAAACTAACCCTCAATAGCCATATTCGGACGCGGGGAGTCTAAGCCCGGACTGCGAGTGGCATACGGAGTTTACATCTACAAACGCTCGCTGCGTTGCGTACACCACGTCCGATTACTGTCCTCGTTTTAATCCTATAATAAATCAGTATATGGCGAGACCAAGCGTACTGCAGCCTCAGTGCCGTCCACCACTTATGCGGTTTTCAGTAGAGTGTGGAAAATGAGGTAGCTGTAAGTATCGTCTGGATCCAGCCAGAGAATCAGCGGAGCAGAATCATGGCATTTGAAAAAAACCAAAAAAAAACCGAATCAGTTCGGACGCGGGAGTCGAACCCTGGACGGCGGGTGCATATATATATGGACTTCTAAAACTGCCGCGCTGTGTTCCATACATGATACATCACGTCCGATTATTTTGTGGCTTCATTCCTGGGGATGAATGAGAAAAAAGTAAGGAGGAGAGGAGTGTAACTTATCCGATGTTGGCCGGAGTGCAACACTTAGTGTCGCAAGTTCTGTTTGCAGTAAGTAGAAGGTGAAGAGTAAGCTGTACAATAACGTTTAGATTCAGTTACTGTAGAATGCGAATCAGCGGAGTAGGATCATGACATTTGAAAAAAAAAACCAAACCAGTATCGGACGCGGGGAGTCGAACCCCGGACTACGAGGAACATATTTAAATGCTGCTGGGTAAGAGATCCCCGCGGTGTCCCATACACCACGTCCGATTATTCTGTGAATGAGTTCGTGGGCGAGGAATGCGAAAAGAGGAGGAGGGGTGCACTTTCTCACCGAACTTATCAGCAGCTACCGGAAGATTAAAGCGGCTCAGGTGCTTAGCGCTGGGGTAAAAGGAAGGAATATAAATGAAAACTGGACAGCCAGTGTCAGCACCAAGCGGGGGTAAAGGCGTAGACAGGCGAAGGTGAATTCGCGGACAGCTGGGATAAGAAAGTTCTGCGCATTTTACAGTGGTACATATAATTATAATTGCGATTATTGCAAGTTTGGGAGTAAGGGGGGGTGAAGAAGACCAGATACACAAATCCAACCCTCACGCCCACTGCCAGCGCCGAGAACGTCGCTCGGCGACTCCTGGCGCATCGCCAGCCCTTCCAAGTTCGCATCCTTCGCACCATATCATCATCGGAGCCTGAGCGCGCGCCCAGGAGGGAGTGATCATCCGAGCGCGTGCGGAGCAGAGAGCGCGGCGCGCCTGGAGGAAGGCGTCGTCACCTTGGTCTTCGGCTATCGGGAAGAAGTCGGCATCTGCCATCTGCATCTGCATCCGTGCGATCCGACGACACGGCCGGAGAATGGCGGTGTGGACCAGGAGGATGAATATGAAGTGGAGACGGCGGAGGAAGAGGAATATGATGTGGATGCAGAGGAGTAGGAGGATGAGGAGGTAGAGTGCGTGCGAATACGGAGCGCGGGGCGGGGCGGGGCGTCGGCGGCCACAGCGCCGGTGTCAAGGCCGGCGCCGGGGTCGAGCGAGTACGCCATAAACTCGCTATCGTCGGAGAACTTCCCGTCCTCGCTAACGAAATATTCTAACGAATCCATGGCGAGCATATTAAGCCCTAGGGTAGCGTAAGCCCGGTGCCCGGTGTGCACAGTGCTAGGGCTGCCACCCGTGCCCGCGACAGGCACGGCCGTGAAATAGACGGGGTTATGACGGCACGGGCCGTCAGAAAACGGCCCGTGGAGTGATTTTAAAAAAAACCAAACGGGACGGCCGTCGCAACGGGTACACGGTTGTGTTCAAGTATTTTGGTCAGCATTTTTTTTCTCAAAATCGACATCTGTGGTACCCAATAGATGTGGAGCTGTGGGGATTTCGTTTCTAGACATCAATTGAACCTCAATGTTGAAAGTTAGTGGAGCACTGGATGCAAGCCTACCCATGCTGTGTATTTATATGGCCCCATGCACTTTCCGCACAGTTCTAAACCCACCCATGAGTTCTGCAGCGTCATAAGGGGTGATGAAATCCTCAAATCAGTCAAAGCTGAAAGAAAACCGCGAGTGAGGTACGAATTCAAATACTGATACTAACACATTCCTTCGGTTTCTGCGAACTAAGAGGGTTGCAACCTTGATAATACATATAATTAGTACACCTGGGAATATAGAATGTAGCGGGCTCAAAACCAAGACCAAGTCAACATTTCTGATTGCAGGAAAAAATTAGCCGTTGAACGGCCATGACTGCCGTGTTTCCCGTCAGAGTATACAGCCATGCCGTAACCGTGCCGTCGAGGGGTATCTTCACGGAACGGCCACGGTACCCGTACCACGTGTGCCGTCGAACCGTTGGAACGGCAACGGGCGGCAGCCCTAGCGCCGACAAGCTGTGTTGAGGACTATGACGAAACTCTCCCTGCGATGTCTTCGGACGCGTTGAACGCGTCAAAGGCGGAGAGCGGGACTTCTGAGGTTGAGGAAGAAAGAGAAGGTTCTTTTCACATGGGCACATCGCAAATGCTTCCGATCCAACAGACGATGATCGGATAAACGGAAGGCACCGCGTCGTCCTGCCTTTCAGCGTTGCCGCCGGTGCCGACGTGTAGGGAGAGATACAGTCGAGGATAAAATATAATACGGGAGGGGAAATTTTGTCTGCAACAAAAAGAAAATCCAACCAGAACAGTAACTTAGATGAAGACGGAACTCCGTGGACATGATCAAAGAGGAAATGTTTGCAAGGGCCGGCGATGAAGCTTGAAGATCCCGTCAGCCATAAAAACACATCAACAAAGCCTATATGCATTCATATGTGAAACTCAGAGTTGAAGTAGGAGGACTGCGGATGCGGATCCTCGTGTGCATTTCAAACACTGGAACCGGTAGTGAAACCACGCTGTGCAGACGCGTAATCCCTACATTCCACATATGAGCACTAAGACTGAACATAGTCAAAATGCGGGCGCCGCTCCTCATGTGGATTTGAAACACTAGCTTGAGGCCGGCGCTAATTTTGCATATGGTCTGCAACATATAAATATATTTAGCTGACATTGAGCGCTCTGCAAACGTTTGCTCCCGAAGATCCACTCAGACGGCCACCCGGATATCGAATGGCGCCAAGGTGGCGGGCCGATTTGGGCGGGAAAATCCGCCCGTAATATAATTCCGTTCGCGCGTCGGCGCTACACCGAGGAGGAGAAAGCGAGTTGTGATCATCCGCTGCTGGCCAACAATCAGTGCAGATCGGGGCATCCGCTGTCGGCTAAATATGGTGATCACCTAGTCGAGCATCGAGATTCTTGATCCCGCAGTTCGTCGACCGGTAACGTCGATTTATTATTAGATTGTGTGGACGGAAGCAGTCTGATATCCTGGGCACACACCATCCACTATTCAGACTGCGCTCAGAGGGCAACTTCCTCTATCGCATACGAGAAACAGAAGAATTCTCTCAGTGTGAAAACCGAGGTTTATATGATTATATCGCCTTGTACCCACATGGACGGACACTGTGCAGTATTTTAACATCCAAACAACTAGCCATCCTCGCCGAGTTATTTTGAAGTCCAATTTGCCGAGTCACATCTCAGCTGAGCACGGCTCGCCGAAAAATCCTTACAATGCTGAAACACCAACCCTGGAGGTCTCTCACAATCCGTCAAAGCCATCGGACCCTTTTGGCCGTTGGCTGGTACATTGCGCGATATAAAAGCTGGCCCATCGTCGTTTCATTCATCAGTTCACTTCTGAGCCTCCCCTCCTCCACTCCTAAGCCCCTCTTCTTCTCCTTTCTCATCCCAAACATGTTCTTCTCTGTCAAGACCGCCGCTCTCGCCGTCCTCGCTGTCGCTGTCAGCAGCGTCCGGGCTGAAAGCCACACTGTCACTTTCACGAACAAGTAGGACCCTTTCCAACCATGTCACCTATGTGGTGCTGATACAATTTCTTGCAGCTGTGGATTTGGAACTGTAAGCTACCACGCTCCACATCTCCAAAATTCTCACTTATCCGCAACCATCGGTAGCCCACCTTGATCCAAAACGGCAACGTCCTTTCCACCGGTGGCGACTTCACCAGCAACGGCCCTCTCATCGGAGCCATCGCCTACCTCCAGACTGGTAATAAACTATCTTATCCTCCTCTTCTTCAGACCACTCAAAGTAAATCTCAGGTGGATGTGGATTCAACGGCGAGGGCTGCACCATGGTCGAAACCACTCTGGTCAACCCCACCAGCCCCGGCTCTGGTTCCAGCACCGATATCACCTTGATCGCCCCGTAAGTCCTCTCTTTTGAGCGCTGAGAATACGTTTATTGACGCCGGAAATAATAGCCACGCCTTCTCTGTTACGACGGGCTTCGGATACTTCAACGGCTGCCAGCCCTCCGGCGCAGACTGTCAGTTATCTATTTTCTCCTCAGATAATCGACAGAGACTAATGTTCTTCTTCCTCTTCAGGCAACAACGCAAACTGCCCAACCGCGTTCCACCAGCCGAGTGACACCTTCGTGCAGGTGGCATGCCAGACCGCCAACGTGGGCCTCGCGGTCCGTCTATTTCCTATTCATCGCCGTGTTCATCAAGCTCACTCGGGATTTACAGATCACCTTCTGCGATTAAGTAGAGAGGAAAGATTAGAGGAAAGATTCCTGGACACACTCAGGTTACTTCAATCCTAGCATACTTATATACTGGACATTGCCGTGGATATTCTCTGTTTTCGAGAGCGCATGAATATAGACGAACTGGTCGAATATTTCAAGCTTGTCCCTGAGAACTTTGACACCTGTGACCCCATTGAATGGTGGTTTATGCGCCGCCTCCAGTTTCCGACCCTCCACCGCTTCGCATTGGACCTGCTATCTATTTTTGGTTCGTCTCATTCATCTCTTCAAATTCACTTCAGTTTCTGGCACAAATTTAGGCTCTGCTGTTGCCGTCGAGCGTATTTTCTCCGGTGGTCGTGATACTATTAGCTGCTGACAGCCTGCGAACTCGCGCTCACAGTCAAACTCGGAGGCGAGAGTCCTAGTGCTGGCAAGGCTCGGTTCGGTTCAGGTTCAGGGCCTTTCGCCCTGAACGCCGAACCTGAACGCGGCGTTCGGTTCGGGCAACCCCCGAACCTTGAACCTGAACGCGCGTTCAGGTTCAGTTCGACGTTCGAACGCGTTCGAACCTGAGGCACTTCGGCCATCTCGGGCGGCTGAAATCTCATTGAAAATATCACAAACTGACATTTTGCAGTGTTCTGGCGGTTGGAAAAGGTATCTCACATGCCTTGGCTAGTGCCGAGACGCCTGCTTATGATAAACTATCCTCGTGCAAATTTACTAGAAGATTACGTGACAACAAACCGTCATCCCATAATATCGAAACTATCTTGAATTTGCCTCGAAAGGAAGGATCAGGTATGTTCTGCGGTGGTTACAGCTGTTTGCAATGAGGATGACACTCATCAAAATTTTGTAAATAAGATCAAATTTGATCTCGCACTTTGCGAGCGACGCCCCCGCTGCATTTCTGGACGGATCCACTTGATTTTTGGTTCGTTCTGTAGGGTTTTGAAAGGACTTTCGAACCATACCCAATCCAAGCTGTGATACGAGATATTTGCATACACCAAAATTTGCAACCTGTGGTTGAAAACAAACGAGGCGGATTTTGCGTAATCTTTATATTCCGTATCACACCTTGAGTTTGGTATGGATCGAAAGGTCTTGCAAAACGCTGTCGAACGCGCCATGAATCACGCAAATCC